TAGTGAAATTTAGTCTAGTTTTTTATATGCTAATGATATCAAATCTGTTCTAGTTATTGCTTTTATTGTCTATTCAAAATTTAACCAGAATATGTTGCCATTCTAGAAGCCAGGTTTCAGGGGTTAGGGGTGGTGGGGAAGAGGGAAGGGAGATTCTAAGCCAGTTCTCTCAACTCTATCTTACTCCTAGGAGTTTGTAACCTAACTCAAACCACTCTCTACCTTTTAAATCCTTCATTAATCAGTACTTAAGAAGCAAGTTAGGAAGTGTCCTCCGTAACACACCTCTTTACTTTCTATGCTCAAAGTTGTCCTCAGCCCGTTCCAATCCATTAGATGAGATGTTGGGTTGAGACACAGTTTATGGGTTGCACAGAGTTGTGTTTCTAGGAGAAGTGTGGGTCAATGAAGTCCCTCAGCCCCACCAAGCCCTTGAACTGGTTAAATTTGTTAGCATGAAAAGTCTCCAAGTAAAGATAAACCTTTCAGGAAAGAGTTAGAGACCTTTGAGTGGGAAAGGATCTTAGAGACTGGCTATTTCATATGCTCATTATATAGATGAATCCCTGGCACCCAGGAGAGAGTAACAGTAGTTGCCATTTGTGGGGCATCTGTGTGCTTTACATAAATTCTTATTAATCTGTACACTAACTAGTGAGGCTGGAGTTCTTATCCTCATATTACATATTAGAAAATTGAGTCTGAGAGAAGCTAAGTAAATTGCTCAGAGTCACACAGCTAGTAAGTGGGAGAGCCAGGACTTGACTTCAGACTCCCAAGCCGCTCTTTCCCATTTCTTACGGCTGCTTGCTAAAGATCAAATGGAAAGTTAGTAGCAAAATGAAGATTGGAACCAAGATTTGGATTCTCATTCCCATGACCTTTCCACAGTCTCAGGTTCTCTCTCTGTTTAATTTAAAGCCTTCCCAGGAAAGATTCCACATGTTCCCAGGTAACATGTTTAATATCTCACAATTAAGAGGGCTCAATGTTATGTTTAACAGAGACCCCTGACCTTTTGTCTTAGTTTCTGTTCTTTTCTTTTAATACACAATCACCTTTGGCTTTTTTGATTTCTTAATCAGTGGTGGGTTTTTTTGTTTCACTATAACTCATTCAATTTTATAAGAAAATTATCAGGGATCTAATGGAAAGTTGGGCAAAGACATACAATAGCAATTTCTGCAAAGGAAAAAAAGAGCATATCAACAACACATGGAATAGACAGCTTTACTAGTGATTAAATAAATACAAATAACTGTTAAATTAGTTATTTTTTCCCCCCTTAACCTAATGACTTCCAGTGTTTGTGAGGTTGTGGTAAAATAATTCTCTGCTGATGGTGGTGTCGGTTGGGGAAATCTTTGCAAAGCATTGTGGCATACATATCAGGAACCATGAAAATGGTTACAACCTTCAACTCTTTACTTTGGTTCCCGGAAATTATACAAAGAAACAACTGAACAGAAAAAAACAAAAAAAAAACACCACCTATATGCATAAAAATGGTCATTGCAGTGTTGTCTATAATTTTTAAAACTTACAAAATGAAAATAGAAGAAGCCGTCTAAATACTCAACACTAGAGAACCAATTGAACAGATGTTGGCATACTGAGTCAGCATACAGTACTACTTGACCACTTCAAAGAATTTACAGGAGTGCGTGGTAATATGGAAGTGTTTATGCTACGACATGAGCTAAAAGAAAGTACGGTACAGAATTACATATTAGATGCACCTGTGAAATGTATTATGCATATCAACAAAATTGAAAGGTAGGAAATAAAAATAAAATCCTCTTCCAGTGTAGGAGGATTGTGGGTAATTTTTCCTTTTTTAAAGTTTTCTTTAATGTTGATGTTATATTGCCTCTGTTGTTTAAAAGAATGAAGTATGACCAGTGGTACAGGGAGTCTAAGCTCTGTATTGAGAGGTAAAGGACCTGAGTTTTCCCCTTTTTTTCCCAAATGTAAGATGCATCATTGGCCTTCACAAACCTCAATTTCTCAACCTGCACAATGGGTTAATACCAGTTTTGCTTTATCCCAGATTGACAGAATATTTATTTTATAAAGCTTTTAACTCACTGAATGTAAGGGTTCATATAAATTTGGTCCTGGGAGAATGAGAGGTGGGAGGGAGAGGAAAAGATAAATAGTCACTAATTAATTTTAAAAGGAAAGATCATCTACTTTCATCAGAAATGCATATGTGCTGTGCCCCTAGTCAGAGTTTTAAGTCCACTCCTTGTTAGTTAGCAACTTCAGTTTAAAGTACTGCGATCCTTTGGGCTTTAAAGATATGAAGCCTATATACATACACATGAGCTAAAATTACTGTGTGCTCACAAGGCGTGTGCACTCTGAGTAATTAAGTGCACTAAGCATCTCTAGCAGATGATGTGTAAGAGTAGTGCAAATACCACGTGACTGTAGAAATTACAAGACACTTTGAAATGATAGCTTAATTTCCAAGCTTTCTTTTTAACTTGTGCTTCCTCTTTCAGCCATTGCAGACAAGTAAAGATTCGATTATCCTGTTTCCTGTGAAAGGGTATTTAGCCCCTCAATCCCATTAAGTCACTTTCTGCACTCCAGTGCACCGCGCCTTCGCTGGGGTCTCAGCCCAGGAAGAGTAAATGGAGACACCAGGATCAGATTTCTAAAGGAAGGAAAGTTAAAGCAAAGTTTGAAAGGGGTGACAGCCAACAGCCAAGAGCTTAGGACTCAATTAGACGGAAAGACAACCATCTCATTATCTCGCGCCCAAGTGATCTAAATACATAAAAGTCTAAAAGTTTTAAATAAACTTGTCCCACTGACTGTCTAGATGACTGAATTTGCCTTCTCAAAAAATGTTTAAACACCCACTTTCGTATTTATTTATTCTGAGCGCAAAGCAGCTGCGATAATTATGCTGTCAGATTCAGTAAGCTAATGAGGAGTCAGCGCATGGAAGGTTTTGCATGTGTGAGATTGCTGCAGGATAACTGCTCTGATGCTTTTTCCTTCTTTTTCTCTCTTTTCTTCTTTCTTTTTTGCTTCTTTTTTTTTCTTTTTCCCTATGAATTGGGAAGGAGAGTCGGGCAGTCTGTGGCCAAAAAGGAATCCCTTTGATTAAATGGTTGCTTTCCCAGCACTGATCTGTCAGATATTTCTCTCTCTCTCTCTCTCTCTCTCTCTCTCTCTCTCTCTCTCTCTCACTCTCTCCTCCCCATCTCTCCTCCTATTTTTTCCAATCTCTCCTTTTCTCTTCCTCACCCCCTCTTTTCCCCTCACTCCCTTTCTCTCCCCCCTTCCTCTCTCCTTGCTTTTGAGGAGTTGCTGCTTTTGAGGGGCAAGGAAGCCAGAGGGAAATCTTCATGTCACTGTCCCCAAGGCAAGAGGACACTTCCCCCTGAGGGAAGTTTCCAAGACGGTTTGGACTTGAGTTGATTTGAGAGTGATCTGTAAAGTTTCTGCACTGTTTATTTTAGCCGTTTCACTGTTTATGCTATGGCATGAGCTAAAAAGAAAGTAGAATATAAAATTGCATATTATAATGTACCTCTGAAAATGTACTGTGCGTATCAACAAAACTTGACGTCTCGCCTTTCCAGCCTAGAAAGTATGTACTTCCAAACCCAAGGAGTCAGGGCCACAGATTACTCAAAGCATAAGTCTAGGCCGAGCGAGGCAGAGACCACATTACAGGTTTATTTCTTCCCTCCAGTGTGAGCAGCTTTCAGCAAACAGTATTATTAAGGCATTTTAGGCTCTTAGGGTGCCAAATCTAGAAGCTTCTCTTCTTGTTAACTGTGCGATATTTAGAGCCACCCAGGTCTGTGCTGATTGTGAGCCTGGCAAAGCCATGCCCAGTGGAAAGATGTCCTGAGCAGGTGTTGTGGATGTGATTCATGACAATGTGGCTGTCACCTCTCGCTGTTTTTCTCAGTTGATATCTATGCCAATGCTTGTAACAATGACTACTAGTTGTTTACTATTTATAGTGTATCAGTAACCACCCAAGATATTTTGCATACATCTTCTTCAACAGTCAAACAATCTGCCTGGAAGTTTTATTATCCCCATTTTGCAGATGAACCCCTTAAAACGTTAACTTTTGGAGGTCTTGGCCCATAATTTTAGCATAGGAAGCACCCAGGAACAATACACTTAACAAACACAGGTGTTTATAAAATACAAACTACCAGCGCTCTGCCTAACCAAATACACGAATCAGATGACAAATGTAATATACTTGAAAAACATTTTTTTTTAATTTGTCAAAGTTGCACTGAGAGTCTATTTAAATAGATTGCCTAGTGTATCTAATGTTGCAGGATTTGAAACCTTCCAAAATGTATGTAGCCCACCAGCACAGCTCCCATTGCCTGTCGTCACTGGCACAAATGTCCAGCCTCCTTGGCTTGATGACTCCCTTCACCACCTGGTTCTGACCTATTTTTCCAACTTTATCTTCTAGTTTGCCTTGCTCTAACCATGCACGATTACTTGCAGTTCTCTCAGACACTTTCCTTCCTTCGTGCCTTTCCTCACGCTGATCCCTCAGCAGGAATGTCCTCCCTAGAAGTCCCTGACTATTGACATCGTTGTCTTTAAGGCCCAAAGGGCCCTTGTCCATGGTTTTCTCACGCTCCTTAGTAGACTTAGGAGAGGGGCTGGCCTGGTTCCTTGTTTGTGCCTCACTTTTGGCCCTTGTGTTGGTGTGTGTCCCTGTTCTATTCCTGTTTTTACCGTCATCAACGCCAAGCATAATGCCTTACCCAAGTGTTCATTTGATAAGCATGCATTGAATTGGATTGAGCAGGAGGGACTTGAGAGATGTTAGTTGAAACAGCGAAGTAAGTTATCCACAAGTCAGTATAAATTATTGGTGGGCAGTCTGGCTCATGTTTTGATGGCTCCTCAGGTGACAAATATTACAAGGACATAAAAAGTACACCGTGAAATCCCAGGAAATAATGTGTTGGTGCTTTTCTCTTTTTTTTTCCATACAGAGGAGTCTTTGTTTACAGTTTCAGGAGTGAGGCTGAAGCCCGAAATGTATGACATTTTGGCTTCCTACCGGAAAAGTCACCACCCAGCCCCTTTTAGCAAATGCTGGTGAAAAGAAAGGGAGACATCACCAACATCCTTCCGGGTAAGTGGTCCCAACAGAGAGGCTCCTTATGGATAGAACTGAAAAGTGATTGCTGCCAGGAGGAGAGGACATGGTTCACGGATGCTGAGCACCACTGTTCTGTGCCTGGCTCTTCCTCCCCACTCTCGGGACAGGTGGCCCAGCCTCTCCAGGCTGTGGAAGGAGGGTGAGAATGTGCATTGCCTGTGTCTCCCACTCCTGGAGGAGTGGTAAGGCTCCTAAGATAAAACTGAAAAGTGGTCTTGAGGCCTTCAGCTGACACATGGGGAATAAAGAATCGCAACTGTCATATTGTATTCCCTTAACTACAGTTTCCTCTGTCAGCCAACAGGACGCAATCAGAGGTCAGGGTGACCACCCATCCCCATTTGCTTCAGACTGAGGGGAATTTGGATATTCTAAAACTGGCATAGTTCCAGATAAACCAGGATGCTTGGTCACTGTGGTGGTGCCAGTTACCACCTGCCCTGCCTCCAGGTGCCAGAGAGGACCTGGTTCAGAGTCCGGCCCCATGCAGGAGATGGTTTTAGAGGCCTATGAGAATCAAGTCATCACTACTACAGGCTTCTTAGGCTACACCTTCTGTGTAGTTGGTTGCAGGGAGTCCTCTCATTCAGGGTGAGTTCTGGGAACCAAAAGGGCCTGATGGACAGGCAGGGGCCATCCACAAATGTCACAGACACAGCTGCCCTCAGGAGTCTCCTCAACCAACCAAGTGTAGCCCAGCCTTCCAAAGTAATCTTGAAGAGGAAGAGGTGCTGTGAAGGATTTTCCCAAAGCTACCCTAAAGGTAGCTCTACTGGTAGGCACAGGAGGCCAGGTGGGACAACTCCAAAAGCTACCGGAGTACAGACATCCCTAGATGTTACAAGAGCACTTGTCTCTTGCACTGGGCCTTCCATGGTAGGCAGAGGAGAAAGTAATCTAAACAGAGGAATCAAGGTGGGACCCATGCACAGAGTCAGCCAGCCGGCCAGCCTTTTAGGTGACCTTGGCTATATCCCAAGCCACAAACAGACTATGATTTGGCCACCCATTTGGCAACCACAGCTTGGTTGTGCTTCCTAACAGAGCTTTTGGGGCCTAGGTGGTCACCACTGGCATGCTCCCTACACCTCCCCCACAACCCAGCCTTGTTCACATGGCAGGATTCAGCTCTTTGCCACTTTGTCTTGGCTCTCTCTTTGGCTGTTGATATTTAAAGACATGAACACATCTAGGAGTCTCCCTTCTGGATCTTCTAAGATATTGTATTTAGGAATTTGGAAAGATCATGGATGTCTAGAATTATAGCTATTCCTCAGAGCATTTTATACCTAAGTTTGTATTTTGACAATATACAATTAGAATTATAACAGGCAACACAATAATGTGGAATTTCCCAAGCAAAATATTTTCTAAAGCAGAGATTTTACTGTGTAATTATGGCATTTAAACTCCACTAGTTATGAGAATAGAATTACTTTAGCTACATTCTATAAAGTGAAGGATTTGTGCTCATAAAATTATCAAAAGATATTGATGAAAATGGTTTCAGATGGTGGTGCTACATTAAGCATTATTATCATTTCTATTGTTGCTATTTTGTTTTATTTAGCAACCAGACCCTGCCTCTCTGATCAATAGTGACTTTTCACGAAGAATTGTCACCTGTGGGATGTGAATTGGTCACAATAAAAAGCTATTAAATGCAGTATGTTGAACTTGGTGCCTGTGCCAGCAATTGAAGTAGGGAGGAGGCAGATTTAGCCTCTACTGGAGTAATCTCCTGATGTCCCTAGGCCCTTGGTACTAATGTGAGGAGATAAAACCCATAGGAGATGAACCACAAAAGGGAAAGACTAGAGCAATTAAACTGTTTAATAAATGCCTTGGTATCTGCAAAATCTGGGAGAGCTGGAGTTAAAGAGACTAAAAGTGGTAATCAGCGCACACTTGGGGACTGGAAGTCTTTCCACTAAATTGAATTTATGTTAAAATATTCACTTTTCAGGAGATTCAAAATGTAAATTGAGATATTAGGACTGATGACTGCCAGCAGTGCCTCAAAATTAAAACTCATAAAAGATCCTCAAAATGTTAGTTTCAGGTGTGGTAAAAAATGTATACTGATGTCTACAGAGGAGAAATAGAGGGGCACTTAAATTTACTGGGTATATACCATGTGCCAGGTACTTTACACGTATTATTTCAAAGCTTGGGTATTTTGAACAGTGGGGTGTGATATGGTACAACTGTAGCCTGTAGATCCAAAGATAGATTTCAATTATTTTTAACACCTAGTTCTTATTACCAGGGGTAAGAGGCTGCCTCGGTTATAATTTGTCACCTTTTCTATCAATAGATATAATCCCAGCAATAACTGCAATAATGTTTAAAAGGTTTTCCTTCCTCAGTCTGGAGGACGTCATTTGTTATTTTGATTTTGTTCATTTTTGCCCAGGGCTACCTTGCTGCTCTTTCCGTTTAATTTGCCTCAGCTTACTGAGAAGCTTCCATTTCAACCCCATGCTGGACCAGGGGTCTTAGTTATCACCTGTGACCTGGAATGTTTTAAATATCTCCAAGGCAACAGCACATGATACTTGAAGAAAAAGCAATGGAAGGCTATTGCTATTGTCATTTGCCTAGAATTTCACAGTGGTTGGCTCAAAAATTGGCCAGAGACGGAGATAGTCTGAGAGGAGGACATCTGCCTAATTTACTCATTTGATTGAGATCCCTGGGCAGGAAGGACAGCAGGACAGACGGGAGACTGACAATGGAAAGAATTCAAAGGCAGAGCCTGTGCTTACAGAGGCCTGTTGCTCCTGTGTTCACTTACAGTGTCTCCCAACAAAAGGACTTGTGTGGCAAGGAGAGGATTAGTCTAAAGTTTAAAACAATCTCCAGAGAAGATGGTTTCTTGGATAAAGTTGTCAACAAAAGGACTTGCTTAAGACTCTTTGTTGTGATTTCCTAAGGGCGCTCCTTCCTTCACTAACTGCGCTATCAAAACACATTTTAGGAGTTTGGATTGAACTGCTGGTTAGAATTAAATTTCAGGCTATTTCCTTCTACTGAATCCTAATTGTCTGTGATGATTGCAAAAGTGATGAGGAATCTAAGCTCTGATTTGATGGTGGAGATACTGAGTAGATAGAAGCAGAGTTCCAGAGATGTAATTCAAGCCCTGTTGCAGCATCAGACACGCATGCATGTGCTCACACATAACCCTCAAATAAAATGAGAGTTGTCTTGGCTAACGCATGTATCCCCTCTTCTACAATGACTCCTTCTGAGAGAAGCCAAGGAGACTCAGATTACTTTGTCAGAGGATCATCTACTCAGGAAATGTAGTAGACTAGAAACCAGAGACCTTTATATATCCTTTAGAAGAACAAAGAGGAACTAATTAAGAGAGAATTAAAAAATAGTACCTCTTCACCCAAAATCTGAGATGGAAGAAGAGAAAAGGTATACAGATAGTCCAAAGAAATCTGCCTTAGTGAGTATTTGATTTTGGTAAGGCATGTGGCAAAGCCTGCCAGATATACCTGAAATACAAAACTATAGGGGCTAGATGATGGGGCAGATAAATAAATTCAAAGAACTGTGGTTATTTAACCTAGAGAAAGGTTGATAGTAGTGTGGTACAAGGTTCGGTCTTGAGTCCCATTTTGGTCAATTATTTTTATTAATCACTTGAATAAAATCAAAGAAGGTACAACATTTATTCATACAACTCACTGACACAAGTACTGTTACTATTAATTTATTGCTTCCATTTTACAAAGGAGGAAACTGAAGCTCAGAGAGTTAAATAACTCCTCCATGGTAGTGCACCGGAGTTAAGGTACAAAACTACAGAGACAGTACAAAGACCTGTGGCTGCCAGGGGTTAGGAAGGAGAGAATGATGAACAGACAGAGCACAGAGGATTTTTAAGGCATTGAAACTCTGTATGATACTCTAATGGCAAGTACATGTCATTAAAAATTTGTCCAAATCCACAGAACGTACAGCCCCAAGAATGAAGCCTAATGTAAACTATGGACTTCGGATGATGATGATGTCAATGTATGTTCATCAGCTGTAACAAATGTCTCACTCTGGTGGGGAGGCTGATAGTGGGGGAGGCTATGCATGTGTGGGGGCTGGGATGCATGGGAAATCTCTGTAACTTCTGCTGAATATTGCTCTGAACCTAAAATTGCTCTAAAAAATAAAGCCTTAAAAACAAACAAAAAGTAAATAATTTGCAACAAGCCAATGCAACCTTTATTCCAATCAAATTTCATCTGACTTAACTTCTTACACTCAAGGCTTGAAATGTCAACAAGTAAGGCAGTGACATAGTAGAAAATGGTACTTTTAAGTACAATGTGGATTAATAGTATGTCTGACCATCCACAAACGATAATGCTAATACTTTTAAGTGATATAAATGAAGGAATAAGGCGATGTCCCACAGAGGGGAAGAAGTTTGCTCTCCACTGATGAGGTCACATCAAAATTATTAAGCTTAAAATAATTTAAGCTTAATTATTAAGCTTAAAACACTTTAAAAGAAACACCATATTGAAGCAAATGTTTCTTGCGCATTTATTATTTTGCAGGTCTAATTCTGTTTAATCCTTCTAAGACTAAGAGGTTGATGGATCAATTCCCCACTTCACAGAGAAGGACCCAGAATCAAATTTAAATGACTAGGATTTGATAATCAGACTCTCTGAGCCCAAAGTCTGTGTTTTATGCACCCCTAGCCCCAACTCTGTGCCGCACTCTCCAGGGAGGGCTGCTAGGAGAAGAGAGGGCATGGGGACCAAGGCACAAAGAATAGCCCAATACTGAAAACCCAGGGGACAGAGAAAGTCCTTGCAGAGGGTTAAGGGCTCTCACAGAGCAAAGTGGTTGGCCCTCGGCCGGGTGGCTGCAGAGCCAGGGCAAACACATAGAAGCTCAGAGATGCTACTGTTGTTACAACAGGAAGAGCTTTCGAGCAATTTCACTGCCCACCAGTGGAATGAGTTCCACAAAGCTAGTGGGCTTCCTCTGCACCCAGAAGATACGGAAAGCTGTGGAAGGGATCCTCATATTGGAGATTATGTTAGCTGATCTCTAAGGTCCCCTCTTATTCCAAGCCTGTCTAATAATGACTTTTGAACAGCTGTTGACAGACTATACTTGGAATTACAGTAAGAACCTATTGTTGCAAGAATCCATAGATTCGTTTTATTTTTTAAAAGGGATTTTTTAAAAAGTAAAAATTGTCAAAATTATCTTCTTTAATTAATAGAAAGGTGAATTATGCTTATGCTTTTTTCTTTAATTAATAAATTCACTTATTTAAAAGCTTAAAAAAATTATATATAGGAGAAACAAGATGGCGGCGTAGGTAACAGCTGCACCCGCCGCCTCCACAACCACATCAAAATCAAACTAAAATACAGAACCACCGTCACTCAGAGCCTCCAGAGATCCGGCTAAACAGAAGCCCCACAACCAGGGAACTGAAGGAGCATCGAGACCGGGAGGACGGGCGGAGATGCGAGCAGATCGGGGCTGAATCGGAGAAGCGGCGGCCGACACCCTGTGCCACGGTTTAAACCCCGGAGGGAATCTCGGCGGTGGGGGTTTCCTAGAGGAGTGAGGGGTCCCAGCCCCACAGAGGCCCCCAGCCCAGGGCTCCAGNTGACACCCGGTGCCACGGTTTAAACCCCGGAGGGAATCTCGGCGGTGGGGGTTTCCTGGAGGAGTGAGGGGTCCCAGCCCCACAGAGGCCCCCAGCCCAGGGCTCCAGGGCTGGGAAGAGACGTCCCCACAACTCCGGGCTGTGAAACCTGCGGGGACTGTCCCAGAGGGTCACGGAGGCTGCGGGAGCCCCAGCAGCTCCTC